AAACAGATGTCTGGTAAAACAACGCTCTTATGTGTATGATTTGCAAGAGGAACTGAACGGTTCCTGAATAGGGATTCTGACCCAATTCCTGATGCTGATGCTGAGCTATCACAGTCATCAGCTGACTGGGTGAGGCTCATAGCTGCAAATGGCCTGGACATCCCTGTATTTGGATACCTAGTGGCAGATGTTGAGTGCATAGGAAGAACACTTCACGAGAGGTGTTTGTGCTAAACAGCACCAATCCAGATGTTAAAGACGTGAAAAGACTTCCTAGTATCATTGGAATGAACGTGATCAGGAGACACATTCATGACTGGAGAGGAAGTGAGGCCGATGGATAGATACAGCCAACGCACAGTTTCTTGGACCTGATGGCAAGATTGGCTTCTTTAGAGTGGCAGAAGAAGAGCCTCATTTAGTGAAAAGGTGCTGGAAGGTTGCTGCAGAGTGCCACCCAAAGTGAAGTACCAGGTTCTGGTGGAGTCTGCACCTAAGGCATGTATTCCAAAGGGGCTCATGGTTTGAAAATGTATTAGCCAAGACAGCAGGTGGCAAAGTGCCAGTGAGGGTGCTGAATGTGAGCAAGAGGCCAATTAAGTTAAAGCCTAGGTCCATGGTGACATTATCAGTGTATAAGCTACAGTAAGTGCTACCAAAGCAAATGGTGGAGCTGGAGGAGAGTGATGGGGTCCTGCATGTGAGGGTAGTCAAACAAGATGATTTAGAAAGGAGAGCTAACGCCTTTTTTCCCTTCTCCCAGCCTTTTTTATCTCTTTCTCTCTTGTTTTTTTTCTCTTTCCCTCCATTAGACTCAAGCCAGCCACGGACAATGACGGACACATTCTTTGCGCCTCTAACTCCTGGCATTCTCCACTCTCTCGAGAGCTTATAGTCCAGCAGACAAAGGACGTCAGAACTGACTGACTCTTTGAGTTCCCTTTTGTTTTTGTTTTTTTCTTCTTTTTTTTCATTTTTAAACCTGAATATTGCTCTTCTGTCCTGTAATAAAGCTAGCTGATAGCCAGAGTGTTTTTTCTTAAACTCACCTCTCATGTCCGCTCGTCTGTGGTCCCTCTCTTAACCACGAATGCCCCACAGTGGTGGAGAATGCCAGCATCGTGCATCTAAGGGACCACAAAAAAAAAATTGTTTCCTAGCTACCATACAGGAACAGCATGAAATGGCTGATACAACATCTCCTTGAAACAAGCAGTGACCCAGGAGCTGGTCAGGGGTGTCAGAACCATTGCAGAAGATCTGCTGACCCATCGCGCAGCGTCTGCACCACCTTCTCTTCCAAGCCCCAAAGAAACAGCACACCAACTTCTCACCAAACTCATCCCCAATGATGACATTGAGGTATGCCTTCACACATTTGAAACCATAGCAGAACGAGAAGTTTGGGACGAAGAAAAGTGGGTGAAAATCCTCGCCCCTTTTCAACGTCTCTTATTCTCTGCCATCTGATCAAGCGGGGGGCTACGAGGAGCTAAAGGCAGAGATCATGGCCAGAATGGAACTCACCTCTATGGCAGCTGCTGCTGAATACCTCCGGTGGTCTTATAAAAATGGCCAACCTCCTCCCCAGCAGATGCTCCACTTTCTTCGCATCCCAAAACATTGGCTACAACCTTGGGCCCGGACTGCAGAAGAGGTGGTGGTCCAGGTTGCCATGGAGAGGTTTCTACAGACTCTGCCACCAGACATTGGAAGGGCGGTCGCCATGAGGAGCCCCAAAGACCCACAAGACATGGTAGAGACGACTGAAAGTGGAAAGCGGAGAGGCCATTGGTGATGCTGAGAACAACCCCTCCACTAATTGTCTCATCTCTCTCTTCCAGCAGGTCCAGGCGGAGAGCAGCTTCATGATAGAACAGCGGGAAGATGAGTGCTTAAAATAGGCCTGGGAGAATATGTTGGTCATCGATAGGGTCCCTCACTCACAGCAACCACTCTCCAGCACGTATTTTGCAGTAAAAAACAATGTCCGCCATCTCTCTGAAGGAGTCCAAGAAGCGTTGGTGGTCCCCAGGTCTCGGATAGATGCAGTAATGCACCTAGCCCACCATCACCTGCTGGTAAAGAACAGTTGCCAATGTTGTTGCCGGTGTCAGCTCACCTCCCCTGCCTCCTGCCCCCCTCATTCTGCTGCCCATTATCGGAGTCCCATTTGCGAGGATTGGGATGGACGTTGCTGGGCCGCTGCCAAAATCAGGCCGAAGACATGAGTATATCTTAGTCATAGTCAACTATGCCACACATTACCCAGAGACAGTCCCTCTGAGAAAAGCCACATCTAAGGCTATCAGTAGGGAACTGTTTCTGCTCAGCAGTTGGGCTGGAATACCCAAGGACATGATCATGGACCAGGGCACCCCATTCGTCTCCTGCCTCATGGTTGATCTCTGCCGGCTCCTCCAGGTAAAGCACTTACACACATCAGTCTGTCACACCAGACCGATGGCCTTCTGGAACAATTTAATCAGACTCTTAAATGCATGGTAAAAAAAATGATAAGTCAAGATAGATATGACTGGAAATTGCTGATCCCTTATGTACTCTTTGCCATTTGTGAGGTGCCCCAGGCCTCCACAGGGTTTCCCCCTTCTGAGGCCTCAGGGGCTCCTTGTCGTGGTTAGGGAGGCGTGGGAGCAACAACCTCTTGAACTTACCTCTCGTGTCCGTGTGTTCTGTGATTCCTCTATTAACCACGAGCCCCCCACAACTTGAAAAGCATAGAAATGTTTTCTCAAAAAGTTACCCTGATTAAGACTACACCACAGCAGTGACACATAATATCCCCACAGGTGATGCTCCATCAGTGAAGCTAAGACATTGGAGAGTCCCAACAAAGCTTTTTTTTTTAGAATTTAAAAACCATGTGCAACGCCTTATCAACAAGCGGATCCTTAAAAAACATTGTAGCCCATGGGTGTCGCCTGTGGTGACAGTTGTCAAAAAGATGGAACTGTAAGGTTTTGTTGCAACTTTAGGACACTAAAACAGGTCACATGCACGGATGCGTACCCTCTCCTATGAGCAGAAGAGTTGCTTGACATGTCAGAAAATGCCTAGTTTTCAAAACTGGATTTGACAGCAGGTTATTTCCAAGTGGCAGTGAGTGAGGAAGATAGAGAGAAGACCGCTGTCACCACACCGTTTAGACTCTGCAATGTGCCAGCCATCTTCCAGCAACCTATGGGGTGTTGAATCAGCTGAGACACTATGGGTTGAAGCTGAAGCCCAGCAAATGTTTCCCTCTTAGGACAGAAGTAAAATTTTTAGGGCATGTGATCTCAGCCAAAGGGGTCCAAGTTAACAAAGAGAACCCAAAGAGAGTGAAAGGAGTGAAGCAGTTGCTTGGCTTCATTTTATGGAAGTTTGCACATCTAGCAAAGCCACTGCATGTTCTGGTGAAAGCTATAACGAACCGAGGGAGAGCTTCTGGTCCAATCACTTGGAGCAAAGAATGTTTCACTGCCTTTGAGGAGCTGAAAGGGTGTTTGATGTCTCCACCTGTGCTTGCCTACCCTGACTTCACACTATCTTTTGTACTCACCACTGATGGGAATATTTAGGGGGCTGTGCTCAGCCAAAAGCAGGTGTGATCTGAATGTGGAATGGCCTACGCAAGTCAGGAGCTGTGAGGATCAGAAAAAAATCACAAGAACTACAGTGAATATAAGTCAGAGTCACTTAAATTTGGAGGGAAAAGTCGCCAGGTTTTTGCACTTCGGGTTGCCACTGTGTTAAAGTTTATCAAAGCCCCCCTCACCATGTCTGGTATTAGCTTACTTTTACATCTACACAAGCATATTAGTGTTTTGCCAGCCACTTCACACAGCAAGATGGATAGCATACATACCTGTTCATATGGATACAGTGGCTAATCCTACTGGGGGGTGGGGACACAGATCCTTTTGCTTTCCAGTCATCTAGCATAAAAACTACTTAGTAATACCCATATCCCATATAGGATTTTCTTGCTACAAGAACAGAAGCCAGAAATAACATGGCTCAGAAATACAAGGCAGGAGCAAACAAGACTTTGCAACAAATTTACCATTTTATCAGCTCCACTTACTATATAGGTGCACTTTGTAGTTCTACAATTACAGACTGTAGTTTATCTGTTTCTCTGCATACTTTGTTAGCCCCCTGTTACCTTGTTCTTCAGTCAACGCCCATGGACCCTCACAGAGCAGGTACTATTTGGGTGGTGGATCATTCTCAGCACTGCAGTAACACTGAGGTGGTGGTGGTGTGTTAGTGTGTGTTGTGCTGGTATGAGTGGATCAGACACAGCAGTGCTGCTGTGTCTTTTTTTCAACAAAATATGAAAAAATGAAATAATGTAAATATTTCATGTTGGAAATGTAGTTACCCAGAATTCTTTGCGGTTTTGTGGCAATGCTTCGCCGAACCCCATGAGGAGACACAAAGTGAACGTGTAGGTTGTGACTGAATGGTGCAAGAGATGAGTTTGCAGGTGGAAGATATGAGGACTCTGGTGAGTGATTTATTTACATACGTGAAAAAAGCACAAAAGAAAAACTGTACAAACAAAAGTAAACAGCAGTTAAAAGTATCCACCCGACTCAATAGCAGCACAGGTAAGTATGTTTTGTTCTAAGCTGCATGGCCATGCTACAGAACAGACAACAGGTGACTATTACAGGTAGGTATACATGTAAGTATTACACACACACACACACAGTTTCACAGTCTCTGGTGATGGGCAAAATATAGGTTAGCTTTGTATTTACATTTTTTTTTGTTGTTATAGGTGTGATCTTTGGGAGACCACAAGTCTGAATTCTGGAAAATAAAGTTGGTAATCATCAGCGTTTCATCAGCGTTTCATTTTCGTTGATAACGAATAAAACCATAAGTTGTCAATATTGGCTGATATTATCAACCACCTGATGTATATTAGTCAGGCTATGCTTTTACTACATACCTGCAGTTATTCAGTCCCAGATATCAGGGAAAACTTCTATAACTTTACGTTGATTCTTGTTAGTGAAGTTATTTGTTGGAGAACGGTTACTTTCCTCTCATTCCTGTACTTATGAAACTTCTATTTGGCAAAACGTCTAGACCACCTCTGTTCCCACGTTAAAGCGGGTCGCCCAGTAAAACGTTTCCAGAGTTGTTCCAGTTCTAGTTGTCTTTGGCGAGGTCTGTGAATTTTGACGCTTTACTCTGTATTGTCACAGGCATTGTGCTTGTTGCTCTGTAGGTCGTGCCAGTACTTTATTATCTCAGTGGGAAGGAACCCATGAGAGGTTATCAGATTTCTGTATTTGCAGCTGGAGTATGGTACCCGCTTGGCATTGAACAGGGATTTGCCGGGCGGTGGCACTGATTCTATTCTCAGTTTTGCTAAGCAGAGTGCTACATAAACATCCTCAAGGTGCAGCATTCGTATGCTGAGAGAAGCCCTATATATCAGCTCTGCCAGGTCGCCCGAGAAGACGTACCCAGTTCCCGAGCAAAAAGTAGGGTACAGGTTGCCGGGGTACATCTCCGGCGACATGTACCACTTACTGTCTTTGTTTCTATGTGGGCGCTCGCCACGCAGGAGATATCCAGTGAAATACTTTCGTTTTTGCGGAAGGCTGGGATTGAGAAGTTTTTGAATGAGGTATTCAGTATTGACAAACATGTCACTGTCTGTCTTCATGACATAACTGGCTCCCGAGCAGTATGTTGTTATCCAGCGCATTCCCATTAGTGTCTTGATGGAAAGGTTGTAATATGAGTCTATGTAATTTTGCTGGATAATGTCATGATACTGTTGAGACTCTGCCTCTATGGAGCGCTGCAGTTGGCTGGTAAGTCCTTCTGTCATGCCCAAAAGGAAGAGCCGTACAAACCCCAAGCCTCCAGCCATGCCCTCATTCCCCCACGTCTGCCTAATGGCATCCCTGGCTTGAATATTCTGGGGTTCAGTGGTAATCAGCAGCACTAAGAAAGGATTCCTTTCCTGACACTTGTCTTCTTCATTGATGATGTAGTTGTAGGGTTCTACCTTAGGGATACTCTCTGCTCCTACCTCCTCGCTTAAACTGGCATTAGACTTCAGAGAGTTCGTCGGCCCTTGCTGGGGAGAGACTTCCAGAACGGAGCTGAGGTTTCCCTCAGACCTTGGTGGAGAAGGGGACGTTGCTTCCTCTCTCCACATGTTCTGCTTGGTCATACTGTGGTTCAACTCCATCTGGGGCAGTTTCTGCGCTGTGTGAGTTACACCGTTCTCCTGGTGGCTCTTCTTTCCTGCCAGCAAACTGTGTTCACTGACGATGAGGAACACTCCCACACACAAGAGCAAAACTAGAAATCCAGCTACGCTTGTACAGCAGTGCCTCCACCTCCACTGCATGTTTCTGTCACTCAGGTCCTAATGTTCAGATGCAGCTGGGTTAAGGATGAATCAGCCGTTGCATTGAGATCTGTAGGCAAAGAAAAGCAGTTTGATTTAAAGAGTAACACATGCTGCATGATTTTTTATTGTTGTAACATTCGGACAGGGTAGTGAGATGCAAATGCAGAGAATCTTTAATGAACAAAATCCACAGAGCAAAAATCAGAGTACAGACAGGCAAAGAGTCAAAAAAACAGAAAATACCAAAACACAGGATAACAGCTCAATAAAGTCACTGAGAGTGGCAATACCTTGCAAGGAGGCAGAGTGAGAGTCCTGGTTACAAAGGGTGGCTGATGAGCAGATTGTAGGCAGGTGCGTGTGTGGGAAGAGTCAGCTGTCAATACTCTGGAGAAGCTGATCTCTGAATGAAGGAACGGCTATTAGATGTGACAATTGTTTTGTTTTCCATAGTAGTCGGTGGTATGGGCAAAAGCTCTACAACCAATAACAATGTGTATTTTGCAGACAAAATTTGAGGTAAACCTCATCTTTCAGGCAGGTCTGGTTTTTAGTTTCTAAACTTCTACCTGTGTGATGGAGTAGCATTACTGCTTGAATAACTAGTGCTTGGTTTCATGCGGCTCTTTTGAAAGGTCAAACACGACAGATGAGGAACTGTTCACTTCCATAGGCACAACTCACATTCATCTGTAGTTTGGCTGGTTTGTGCACATTTCATCCTCAGATTCTGAAATCACAAACTCATGCTGCCAGTTACCAACACCTTGACTATTGAATAAACAGTATTGCATTCCATAGACCTAATACTTTATGAATATTGTAAGGAGTCAGAATTTGTGCCACAACTGCAAAATGCTTTAAACTTATTAGTCAATAGAGGAGAAAAAAAACATGCACTTAACTATTAGACATATACATAACAAAACAATGTCTCTTGTGGTGGTGGTGAGTGCAATGGTGTCCGGTTCTCCATAACCAACGCCAGATGTCCTTTGTCAAGCAAGTTTTCTATTTTTGAGTTGCTTGTCTGTTTTTATTTAGACTCACTCAATGTCTCCATTGCAAATTTGTGTCCCACACTTTCATGATGACTCTTAAGAGATGCCCATTCTTTTTGCCTGCTGTCAAACCAGGTTGCTGGTTCCAAATTAAATCTGTTCCCTCATTTTAAAAGAGGCCAACAAGCAAAGCAAATCTTTGGACACACTTCATTCCAGCCATGCATATTGATCCAACCAGCTTATGTTAAAACTTCTGTGCTGATTCCCAAATGGCTGTGCATGGGAGTTTTAAAGAACTGGCTGTCTTTGGTGTCTTGGGCCAACTTTGGAATGGTTACAAATACCATCTACAGCAATGCTAGCACCCTCAGGAGCAATCGCAGGCAGGTCCCTTTCTTCATCTCCACCTTCTGGCCTTTCTTGGTCCTGGTCAGTGACTACTAGCATTGCATCTACACTTTCATGAGACCTGTTAACATCACCTGTAGCCCCAATAGGTTCAACATCACTCTCATTTCCTTTTGATCGAGTCTCCACACATGGATGTTTATAAAGTAAAAACTATCCATTATATTGCTAATTGCTACAAATTATGGGATTCACACATTAAAAATGAAAAATTCTGAATAAACCTCAGAATTTTTGAGGGTGCATATGGGGTGATATGGCTATTCTAGGGGTAACTACAGCACCCCCAAGCCCCTTCCTGCTGCCGCCAATGGCCACATGGCCACATGGCCACATGGTCTACACCCTGCAGCTTTTCTCAATTCTATAATGTCAGTGTGGCAGCGTCATCGGGCCTGACACCAGCTGATGGGCTGCATCTAATGCACTCTTTGTGATGGCATAGGCACGTACGTCATCCACTCTGTAAGTGCCACACCGGAGTTAGGAAATACGTAACATATGTCATAACTTTCCTCTTGGTTAAATGGTGTCTAATGTTTGTTTTCTAATTGAAAGTTGGTTCTGATAAATATTATTTACTTTCTTAGTTAGACTCGCTGGTTGGGAAGACGTGCGTTCATTAAACTTCTTTTTCCTTGAGCCTTGGCTCCTGTTTTTCTTTAAGAAACCAAAAATTGTCAGCAGAAGTCAACAGATTTTTGGCGATGAAGGTGGGATCCAAGATCTGCAAGGTTTTCCAGCTTTTTTAGACGTCTAAAGCTGTAAACATCTACTGCAGTTCGATGGAAAACAAGACTCCTTCACCTCTTACACTAACGGTAAGTGAAAGAAAACTCTAAACACAGCACACACAGCCAGAGTAGGAGTGTTGTCTATCTTATATGTAGTTTCCTCCATATGATGTGTATGGAGAGGTTGCAGGATTTATTCCTGTTTGTCGGCCGTAAATCCGGTAAAAAGGTGTTTCTTACCGGGGGACAGTTTTAGAGATACTGTTCTTTTTTCACTTCCTTTATCTAGGAAAGGCGCAGAAATATATAGAAATATTTTCTGGTCTTTACACAAGCAACGGCGTTTGCTTCGAATTGGGTGTGTCCTAGTTCCTTAGTTCCTGATTAGACTTTTAAGGTGGCGCCCTTACTCAGGGAAGAGTTCAGATCTGCTTTATTGTTTTGTGTTGTTTTTGTTTTGTAATTATGTAAGTTTAAAGTATTAGCACTTAAAATGCAGAAATTATGTTTTTCCAAAAGTGTGGCTGGTTCCACTTCTAATACTGCAGAATCCACATCTCCCCAATATGTAGACAGAAGTGCATTTGAGGTAGATTTAACAAAAATGCTAGACAAATTTTGTCTAAAAAGAAAGGCTAAACTCTGTAAAAAATTTGATCTTCCAGAAAGCTCAGACTGGAGTCAGGAGCAGGAGGTGTTTCACAGTTCTTGCCAAATGTGTAAAAAAGAAAGATTTTGAGGGGTGTGTACAGGTCTTCAGACAATGGCATGCTTTGCTTATGGGAGAACAACGATCCAAAATTGACCAATTAAGGGAAGAATGTGCTAATCATGAACATGCCGCTATCAGTGCACAGAAAACTTGTGAAAATACACAGCGCTCACTTGTTCTCCTTAAACCAAAAGTTGAGGTTCTAGAAAAAGAGAAAGATAACAGAGCAAAACAACAGCTGTATCCATCTTTAGATGAATTTAAAACCAAGACAGGCCAATCCATGTCTTCCAGTGACAGTGAGGACGACACTTTTGACCTCTCTGTACTGGAAGCTGCTCCTGTAGTGATAAAACATGTAAAGTTAAAAGATGGACAGGATAAAGCAACTGTGAAATACAAGCCTCTTCCCTCTGAACAAACTGGTTGCATTGCAAAAGAATTCATCCATCCTAAAGTGATGGGTTTGGGTCCTTTTCTGATGCCAGTGACACGCAAGACAAAGCTGCACACAGCTACTGTGTTAAAGACTGTGTCCCATGGTTCAGGGAGTAAGCAAAGCAGGGGAACATGTGATAATGCATGCCACTACTGTGGTAAAATGGGTCCTTGCACATGCAAGAAGAAGTCCAAGGCAAAGAGTGAAGTGAGTTTAGGGAAAACTCAATCCAACTCTGTGGGTGGGGCGATCATCCCCAAAGTGAAAGGTAAATTTGTAAAGCTAATCCAGAAAGCATCTTCGTTTTCTGCCATTCCCACAGAGAAGGATCAATTAAAATAACAATAGCTTATTTATTGCTTATTTATTGAGCGTGTTTATAGCCAATTATACATGAGCAGGACAAACTTTAGCCATGGTAAAAAAATGTTCTTCACTGTTTTAAGGCTGCTGCATTGGGTTCTGTGTAACCTGTGGGTGCCTTCAATGGTTTTATGGTTTTATGATGATTTTATTGGTTCAGCTCATGTAGATGTAATTACTGCCAAAGAAGTGGCAATTGGCTTTGCTCTCACAGTTTATAAAAGTTTCGTAAGTTTACAATTTGCCTTCAAAAGAGTTTGACGCCTTATTGTTAATGATGACAGTAATGTCTGATTCTCAAGATGGGATAGTTCAATCATGCCAGTTAGTTAAATGTTACAACTTGGTCAGGCGAATCTGCTGTTTCCCTTAGCTGTAAATACCTGTGGTAGAATCATATGAGCAGGTATCCTTAATTGTTGAGATTATGTTGAGACATAGCTAAACACTGTTACAGATATTTGGTCATGTTTGGAACATAGGCTGAAAGGATAGCATTAACAAACTGCTAACTGAGTCTACAGTGGAGGATTAGGACATGCTCATCACAGTCTGCCATGTTTATGTTAATGAGTGAGGTTCTGATAAGCTTAACATTAGCTCATAGTTTAAGTCTGACAATAGTACTAGCCTTACCTTAGCTAGTCTTGTTCAGATCTTTTAAAACAGATACAGATTAGTAAGGAGCACTGTTGGTCTCAGATCAGAACAAGGGAAAATTTAACATCTAACAAGAACAGGGAGAATTTTGATGCTGGTAAAACAGAATTTGAAATATAATTATGCATCAGGCCTGTCAAGAAGTACATATAAAATTCATTTTCATATGTAGATTTTGCAAGGGTCTCAGCACACAGTCTCAAAGACTGTAAACTGCAGGATGAGTGTTTTTTCACCACATGAAGTGACAAAGTTTCAGTGTGGCTTCTAAGATAAGGATTTGGTCCATGATTTGGCTGCATTTAGCATGATCTGATGGTTCTTTACAGCTGTTGCAGGTGATGCATTTTTTTATATAATGTTAGAGTGTGAACTCCCATTATGTTTTGAAGCTTGTTACGAAAAAGTATGCAATTTTATTACAAGGCTTCAGGGAAGTTCCACTTGAGGTTTTGGCAGAACCCCCGAAGAAGGTGAGGTGTGACTGAAACTTTAAGGGGGGTGGATGCAATTTG